CAAGTGTTATAATTACTTTAGGAGAAAAATCTTAATATATTTAACCAACAAATTAAATGTGTAAAGTATACGAAAAATCACAATAAAACAAAATAAGTATCAAATTAATTTCATTACTCATATTTTAAAACAAATGCAAATAGTTATATTATTTAATAAAAAGTAATGAAATAAATTTGAAATGATGAAATAAAATTAACTTTTAATATAATATATTTTTTAAATAATTTATAATACTACCTTAACATAATTTTCTTGACATGAACAATATAAATGACCCTATTTATATGACAATTATCACAACAAAAGAAAGTTAGATACTATATTATATAAGTTATCAAAATAATACGTCCATGTCATGAATAACCAATTTAATAGTAAATAAGAATAGTAACTATTTTCAAAAATATTTAGAATGATAAGAATAAAAGCTAACATCTATTTGGATGATCGACTAAAACTAGACTTTCTTATATCTATAAGAATAAAAAAAAATGTTAAGTCCTGTTTTAATTTAATAAGCAGCATTGAATTATTGAAGAAGAAAAAGTGCAACAGTCACATGGCATGCTTAACATGCTACGAGTAAAAAAGAAGAAAAAGTCACATTTTTATAGTAGAAAGAGTGGTCTTAGTCTTCTAGACACCTCTAGTCGAAGCTCCAACATTGAGACCTTTTTCAAAATTTTAAATTTTTCTGGAGTTATGACTTCACTGTTTGAGAGATAATAAGTCCCAAGATTGGTTGTACTCAACAACCAGAGGGTCCCAAAAAGTGGGTACCTTCAAATTCTTGGCCTTTTATTATGTGGGGATGCAATTTTGTACCCTTTTTTCTTTGGCCTTTCTCAAAGAACACATAAGCCTCCAATCTGTGGCTTTGCACACTGCTCCCACAAGCTAGAGTGCTTTTTTGTGATGGTTCCAATTTGTAATTCTATATAATTAAATCAAAACATATAAAAAGATGTGAATTAAGAGATGTTAATCATTGTCCCCACATGGCCCTTAGCTTTTTATCCTTAGGTTTTGAGGAATGCAAATAGGACATATGGGGGAGCGGGGAGTGAAGGAGACTCTTTATGGGGTCTATGCATAAGGATTAATAATACAAATTAAGAAATATAATAAATACAATTTTATTAGAATAACACTTTTAATAAATACATGATAGTTGAATAATTTATAAATAAATAAATTAAAATTATTATTATCATTATTATTTATTTTGAGATATTTTTCAAATGTTGAAACTACTAAGGGTGTGGCATTTCATGGTCAATGTGTTTATACTAGTGATATTGGAAGAATTATTTATAATTAATCTATAGTTGTAGTTGGGGTAGTTGAATCCACCCATTTCCCAATACCTTGTATTTCAAAACATTCAATTCAATCACATTGGCGGGGCCATGAAACTTTCATACTCTAATAATTGTATAGTCATATGAATGACTTCAAATGTAGGGAAGCCCACATTAACGTAAAGGATGTGTTAATGTTGTTAGCCGCCTCACCAATAAAACACTAAAACATGACACACGACATTAACTCTAAATGCAATGCATACCAAAATTTTATTCTCATCATTATAATCTTATAATAGATAAAAGAAAAAATATACTAAAGTTATGTAATTTAGTTGTGTGAATAAAGTATGTAAAGAGCTTCTAGTTAGTTGATTACCATCTTAATACCAAGTTTGATTTTCATGAATGAAAAAAATAAGTAAATGAAAGGAAATGCATCTTAAGGATCATATTAGGAGCATCTAGTTATTGTTACTGGTACATATTAACATATATATAATACATGTTTTGATAATTTTGATAAGGAATATTAGTAATAACAATCTCCTTATTCTTGATAGAAATTTGTTGAAAACCAATTTTTTATGGTGTAATCCACTTCTAAAGAAAGAAATTCATCAAATGAAAGATAGACTCCACCAAAATTTACAAGTTATAATTTTTGATAATTTTTACTCAATAATAAATAGTATTAGACAAAAAATATTTAATAATAAATATCTTAAAAGTCATAATTAATATGAATAGCAAAAGAATATTTTACGCCAACAATATATAAAAAATAAATTTATTGTTGATACTAAATCTATACATAAGTTATTGCTACAAGTCAACAACTAGGGTTATTTTTTTTATATTCTATTTCTTTTTAGTCTAGGGTTAATTTATTCAATCAACCGTGAAGTGGAACATTGAAAATTATGCTTAAAAAAATGACTGCTTAGTTGTAAGTGAAATTTGAATTCAGATCGTAGTGACTAGTGTGCAAAATCTCTCCTAATTATTCAATGATTTTGAGATTTGTTAAAATAAAATAAAAAAGTGATTTCTTTTTACAGTGAGGAGATAGATTTAAATAGAAGCAATCATACTTCATTAAATGGTCATTATAATATAGTGGTAGTTTAAATCATTCACTATGCAAACAATTGACCATTGATCACAAAATCTCTACTTGCATCACATTGAGTTAATTTGACCATTTTCGATTGGGCATGAAAATTCGAGCTTATTCTTTTTGCAAAATTAGTGATTGTTGAGGTTTACCAAGAGGCCATGATTATGAAATTTAGTTATTATGATATTATCCTTGTTTTCTTTCACAATTATTATGAACAAAAAAAAAACTTGCTGTAGATTACAACGTCTGATTAAACAAATTCATTTAGAAGAAAAAAAGTCAGTTTTTTTTTAATGCAATTTACTTTCTGACGGTTTAATTACATGTAATTTATCATATCAGTTTTAGTTCATATAATAATTCATCACTTTAAATTTTAAAATATTACCAAGATATTTAATTTAATCTCAATAATATTTTGGGTTCTGCAGTTTCGTTCAGATGTTGAATTCTATCATCAATTCATATTATAAATTTTTTATTCTTTTATATAAATTTTATTTCATAACAACCTATATTTTTAATAATTACCCATTAATTATTACATAATTTGATTATTTATTATTTTTTAAAATAATTCACGGAATACTTTTTGTACACTTAATTTTAGTAACAATGATTTTAAAGTAAATCTTATTCAAGTAAATTAATTGCAATAATCAAATATGTTGTAACGATTTTATTTTTATACGTTATTTTGTTAATTTGTTTGGCTAAATCTGTAAAATAAATGAAATACATGATATTGCCTAACAAGGGAATTTAGTTTAAGAAAGGAGTACCACTTTAATTATAAAATTTTAACTGAATAAAGAAAAAAGCACAATTAATTTTTTTTCTTTCAAATACACTCTAACTTTGATAAAACTACAAGTAAAAATCTTGAACTTTCTATTTTGTCTCTTTAAGTTTATGCATCTATATACCTTAAGTTTATGTTCCTCATTCTTTTTATAAGTTTATTGGAGAAATATCTAAAGCTTCATAAAAATAGAGAAATTAAAAGTACTATAGATTAATTCTTTTTTCTTATTTCTTATTTAAAATGAACTCTTGTCATTAAATTCACTTGAATTTCACAAATTATACCATAGACGTACTTGAATTCTGTAGTTAAAATTCTTATGATGAAAATCTTCTTCACTTAATTGAATATACATGATTATTTTGCGACTAAACCTTACAAATACATATATTTTCTTTTCTTGATATTATATCTAAACTTTATTTAAGTTCTATTTTTTTTTTTATTACATAGAATCGCGGTTGGTTATTTTGTTAAATAACTTAAAAAATGAATATATATATATATATA